CCTGAGGGCTGTGTTGGCAGCCTTGAGGGCAGAACCCAGCTGTCCTCTTAAGTGAGTTCAAGTGTCTCTGCAGCCAGCTCATGGCTAGCAGTAACACAGGTTTGCTGCAAACACTGCAAAAGCAGCAGTGAGGTGTCTAAGTGAGATTTGAGTTGTCTGTGTGCCACAGGGGATGGCCTTGAGTGGTGAGAGGGAGCTGCAGCACTACAGCAAACCTGTGTCCAGCCCTGTGTTCCATGTTCTGGTGGGTCCCTTGGCACCTCTGTAGCATTCCCATCACATGTCAGCCGTGGGGGTGCCAGACCATCCCATGGGAGCTGAAGGCCAGGCAGCTTGTAGAGCTGCCCTGTTTCCCACCAAACACCTGTCCCTAACCACCCTGAGCTGGGACACTTCCCAGATCCTCTGGGCTTTGGCGTGTGCCATGTCTCTGCCATGGGCTCTGCCCTGGCAGGCAGGTCACATCCCAAAGCCCCCAGCAGCTCCACTCCCTTCCCCTCCCACCACATTTTCCACCCTTACTGAAAATCTCCAGTGAAGGAAAATGTGAAGGTCCCATCCCAGCTGGTTGCCCACTCCTGCTGTGCAGAACCTGGAGCACATGTTTCTGTCAGCTCTGGAGCCACAGCTGTATCCTGAAACAAATGCTAATTATTCCCAGTTAAGGACCAACCTTGGATACTCATTAGCATATGGCACCAGCCCTAATGAATTTCCCAGAATGGCTGGGAATGGGGGCAGTGGAGCAGGTGAAGGCTCCTTCTGGTGTCTGCCTCGAGAGGGGAGATTTGTGTCTATGCTGCTTTCAGGGAAAGGGAAAAAGTTAGAGCTGCTTTCATAGCAGCTCCTCAAGGGATGGAGCAGAGGTGTGAGGGTCTCCAGGGACCCCAGTGCCCCATAGCAGTAGTGCAAGAGCCAGCCCAGGGGACCCTTTTGCCCCATCCAGTGTCCCCCCAACCTCTTTCCATTGTGATTGTCTTAGGGCATCCCAAAAGTAGCTATGCTCAGGGCTGGGATGGCACAACCCCACAGGCAGCCCCAGCCTGGGATATTCCCAGCTGGGTTGGGCTGAGGGCATAGAGTGAGGGCACTGGGGGCTGCATGGCCCAGAAAAACCACCCAAATATGGCAAACAACTGAACCCAGAGCTTGGCTGGCCTGTGTGTGATACCACCCTCATTGCTTCCTGGAGCAGCTCACAGGGATTTTCTCAAAGCTGGAGGAAAAAACCTTATGGAAGCTGGGAAGTCAGTCATGAAGAGCAGCAACACAAGATGGCAATATGGGGGTCCAGTTGCACCCAATGCCCTCAAACCAACCCAAGAGAGAAAAAGCTTCCAAAACCTGGCAGATGGTGATAACACTTTCAGCACTGAATAGGGACACATGAGAATCCCTGTGGCTGGGTCCCAACTCTGATAAAAGGGGTTTGCACCTGGAAACACCAGCCAAGGGCACTGGGTGCCCCTGGAAGCATCTGCTCTGCTTTGGGGGGATCCCCTTGGGTCCCCTTGGTGAGGTACCCCTGATCACCCTGTAAGCAACAGCCACCTCCTCCATTACCCAGCCAGCACTGCCAGCACACTGGGGAAGAAAGGAATTTCTGTGTAAATCCCATTTACTGTCGGGTTTCTCACTTCTCGCCCGGTAGACAATTCCAGCCCTCAGTGCAGTGCTGCGTGAAGGTTTAATGTATTTTTGGAAGGAGAGGGGGAAAAAAAGCCCTCTCTGAAAAGAGCCTCTTTCAGCTAATAATGAAGTGAATATTATATTAAGAGTGAAAACATATTCAGGCAAACTTACAGAGGGAGACAGAAAACCTTTTCATAACACCCTGGCCACAAACACAACTGCCAATTAAACCGGCTTCACTCTCCAGCTGGTGCCAACATAAACGAGGGGCCAGGAGCGGAGCATGGAGCTGGAGTGCTCTGTGCCCGGCTGGGCTCGGCTGCAGCTGACAGTACAGAGGGGTTCCTGCTTCCTTGAGTTTCAGAGCCAGCCATTGGAATAAAAAGGTCTGAATCCTTTGTCCTGACCTGGGAGAATGGGTGCCCAGTGAGGTGAGGGACTTCAGAGCCATGGGGGTCCTTGGTCCTTTTCCCAGCCCAGGGGCTCCAGTGCCATGGGAGTTCTGGAACCAGGAACCAGAACTGGGTTCTGTCCCAACCCAGAAGAATAGGGTGCCCAGTGACTCAAGTGGCTCCAGAAGCCCAGGGAGTCCTCTGCCCTATACCAATCCAGGGGATCCAGTGCCATGGGGACCCTTGGTCTCTGCCCACAGCTTCCTCTCTGCCCAGTCTGCAGAACAGGGATGGTGGGCAGGAGCCTGAGGCCCCAAGTCCCTGGGATCAGCAGGATTGCTTCTGGCCCAGGGGAGGATGCTGAGCAACTGCCCTGGCTGAGCTGATAGGACCAGCATCCCCACATATGACAGTAAGGTTTGGAGAGGTGCTGCATATCCCATTGCAGTACCTTGTGCCTTGGAGGAAACCTGTGACCAGCCTGCATTGTTAACAGGAGGTGCCATAAACATGGAGCACCTTCCAGCATCCTTATTTCACATGCCCTGAATGTCTCAGCAGAGGTTTAACACAGCCATCCCATATGTTTTGGTTGTTTGCCAGTGGTCTCAGCTCACCCTTGTCCCTGGCAGAGGGACACTGGGGGGCACAAGGACACTCACCCACACTCTCCAGGGTTTCTGTACCAGCTGCCAGTGGAAGGAACAGGCATGGAGTGGGATCTCACTGCTTTTATGGGTTCTTGGGGGTCAGTGGTATGCAGGAGAGGACAACATGATGGGAGACACTCAGGTGACACACAGGGGTTGTGATTCATACTTCAAGGAAGTTTTACCTTTGCAGCCTAAGGAGCTGCTGGATTGACAGGTTGAGGGTGCAGAACCTTCAGGTTTGGATAAACAGCCATGCCAGGAAAACTTCACCTGAGATCAGATAATCTTGGAATTGAGCAAACCCAGCACAGCTGAGGAGCTGCAGGTTAACATTTGATAAACCCAACCTGGAAATACAAGACCACTGCTGAGCTGGGACAAACCTTTGGAACAGCTTCTCCAGGGAACACACTGAAGATGTTTGTCAAAAACTATTTCATGGAGAGGGAAAAGGGAGGCATTTTAGCCAAAATTAAAAATTCCAGTAGAAAACTTTTCTCCAATTTGCTGCTTTTTGACTACCACTTTGAAAGTGTGGTTCTCTACAGAGATTTTTGTCTGTTGCTCAAGGACTAGTATTTCTGCTTTAATGCCAAGTCAAGATCCAAACACACTTCTGATTTTGCCCAGAGGCTAAAAGATCATATTTCTTCCTTAAATAACAAAAATAAGAAAAAGAGAAGAACAAAAAAGAAAAGAAATAATAAAAAAGGAAAAAAAATATTTAAAAAAAGTAATTTGGTAAAGAAAAATTAATTTCAGCAAGGTCTACCTCACCATGGGAAGTCTCCAACAGCAACAAGCTGCCTGTCAACCTGCCTGTCAATGGACTCTGGGTAAAGTACAATTAACCAGTGAGGCCTGGGTGCCAGAGAAGGGTAGCTGGTGCTCCTGCAATGTGTGCCGCTGGCACAGCAGGACTGGACTGGACTGGACCTTCCAGAGGCTTGTAAAGCTCCTCACTGTGCCACAGCAGCCACACTACTGCTACACTTCAGGCTTAGCAGATGAAACATCTTCCTCAATGGGCTTTGTCCCCACAGTTTGGGGTCCAGGAGATCCTGCCTTTCCAAGATCATTGGTGGACAGGGATGTGCCAAGTTTCCACTCATGGATGCAGCTGCCCACTGTTGTTTGACCCAAGGGTGGGCAGGAAGTGCCAGCATGGCCCATGTCAGGGAACTCCAGGGAGGCACAGCTGTCCTGTTCTGGAAAACTTGCCTTGCTTATGTCTTCAGAACTAGCTTATCCCAGAAAGCACAAAGTTCTCTGCTTCTTGTAGGGAAGAGGCATCAATTCCCAATCAGTTACCATGAAATTTATGCAGAGAAAGACAGATATCCAGATTTAAAGGCCACCAGAAAGGAGTCCTGAGCACCAGTGGGAAGCAGGCATTGCCATCTAGTGTCAGGCTAGAAAAGGGCTCAGGAACACAATGGCCCTCCAGTAGGAGCTGAACTGGATAATCACATTGGGTCCCTTCAGCTCAGGATATTCCATGCTTCTACAATGCTCCTCTTAGTGCCAGCCCAACCACTACTGACTGGGGAGATGGTTTTAAACCCTTCTGTGAAAGAGCAAGGCCAATAAGATGGACAGACAAGGCCACCTGTGATGCATGGATGGCTGAGAAACCCTGGCTGGTACAGCTGTGGATGTCAGAATCATGGAATAGTTTGGGTTGGAAGAGACCTTAAAGCTCATCTTGTTCCACCCACTGCCATGGGCAGGGATACCTTCCACTAGACCAGGGTCCTCTTAGCCCCATACAACCTGGCCTTGAACACTTCCAGAGATAGGGCAGCCACAGCTTCTCTGGAGAACCTGTGCCAGGGCCTCACCATGCTCACAGGGAAGATTTTCTCCCCAATATCCCATCTGGCCCTGCCCTCTGGCAGCAGGAAGCCATTCCCTCTTGTCTTGTTACTCCAGGACCTTGTTCAAAGTCCATCTCCAGCTCTCTTGGAGCCTCTTTACACAGAGCAAGGGGCTCTGAGGTCTTCCTGGAGTCCTCTCCAGGTGAACACACCCAGTTCTCCCAGACTGGCTCCAGAGCAAAGGGGCTCCAGCTCTTAGAGCATCTTTGACTCTTCTGCATTTATTCAATCCCCGCCACAGTCCCATTGTTCTGAGCACAGAGAGTTCTGGAGTTTGCTCCAAAGCTGGTATTATTCAGCAATTTTAAATCTAGCATCACCATTCACAGGAATGTTCAGCCAAAACAAGGAGTACAACAACCTGTTGGCCATGAAGGGAGGCAGCTCTACAGACCCCATTCCAAATTCTAGCTCCTTTCAGGCATTAATCACTCTTGCACAATAAATTGGCAAAAGTCCTGCCAGCTTCAGTCCTCAGGTTGTTTTATTTCTTCAGAACAAAAATACCAATCATAATTTTTTAAGAACAACCTATGTAAATAGAAAACTTCATGGCATTCTCCTCCCGCTTACAAACTCCATGAAAGAAGCCTAGAATCTATCTGCAAGAGCAGGATGTCAGGAAAGAGTTTTCTTTAAACTATGTGCGTGGGAGAAGAAAAAGAATTTACACAAACCCCTTCCTCTCCAACAGTGGGACTTAATTATTCTGGAAACTGCCTCAAAACATGGCAAACAAACTAAACTGCAGGAAAATCAGGACAAAACCTTCACTTCAGTCCCTCCAAGTAAGACAGTGTTCCTGCCCCTTTTCCAAAAACCTGTATGTGATGCTGAGATCTCCTCCATGTGCCAAGAGCTGGACAGCTGGAACAGTCCTAGAATGAAAAAGTATCACAGTCAGTGTTTCCCCAGCATCACCTATACAGTTTATTTAATTTCAGCTCTCAGTCATCCATGGTCACCAGCACACACTTCCAGTGGCCCTGAAAGAAACACCTAGAATTCCATGGATTAGCACAAGTGTAACAAACACAGTGATATCCCCTTAAAATCCATTCAACTTCCTCATGAAAGACTTGGAGAAAACAGAGTATTAAGCGTCAAGAGCTAAAAACGAGCCAGGCCCCCTCAGCGAAACCCCCAGAGCACTCCTTGGGCCACCTCCCTTCCTACACAGGGTCATCCATGCTTACCATCACTTACGCTTTTCCACCCTGGTTCTGAGAAACTGAAACCTGGATACTTACTCTGCCTTTGGGAGAAAGGTAAATCTTGTACGAGACACACGAATTTCTCCTCAACCCAGATTTCTACTGTTTCTCCCCATATCTCCCTGCTCCCAGCTCCTTCCTGTTGCAGGACAGGAGAACTGGGAGGCCTGGACATCTGGCTGCATCCCAGCAATGGATCACAGAGCACACCCAGCACTTTGGGCAGTCGTTACCTCACCCCATCAATCCCACTTGCAGTTGGGTCCTTGAAAGTCTTGGAGCCCTGGCAAGAGGGAATGACAATTTCCACATCCCTCAACACCTCCTTCTTTCATCTCAGCCTTCACCTATACCTCCCCTTCTTTAGGGTAACCAGAAGGAAATCAGCATCTTGGTGCAGCATCAGCTTGGTCTGGATAAGAACCAGGACTGCTTTTAAACGGTGATTCCTCCCTCTTCAGCTCTAAAGAGCAGAGAGCTGGCAAGCCTCAGGACTTGGACTAGCACCAACACCCTCTCATAACCAGGAGAGCACTTCTCCTGAAGGGTATCAGGACAGTAATAAGCATCCACAATCATTTAAAATCCCTGGATTAAAGAATAAGAAAAACAGAGGACAAAGGTATCTCTTCTGTTAGTTCAAAGGGAATGTCTGGAGCCTCCAAAGCAGCAGGACTGGTGCCCAGACAGGGCACAACTCAAGGGGGAGAGAAAGGAGGCTTTAGAAATTGTAACTCAAGAGAAAAACTTAAGGTAATCATGTGCCTCCTTGCTGCTGGAAGTGATTGATAGTGACTCTGAGTCTTCTGCAAAGCTAAAACTTAATAAAGAAATTCCCATCTTATACAAAGCCAATTCTCTTTAAACTCCACCTGCATGAAAAACCAGCTGTTATCATGGGACTGCAAAGAGCCCAGCATGTTCTTCATGTTCTACTGATTTGTAACACCAGAATATTTTATATTAGAGCTGCTGGCAAAGCTCTGAGAAATAAAACCTCACACAGGGATATCCCTTGGGATCTCAGCCTGTCCTTCTCAGGACCAGTGCCAGGTAACCGTTAGCAGGCAGGAACTGGAGGAGAACAGAATCACAGCAGGTTGGATAAACTCTCTAAGATCAAGTCTAACCATCAATCCAGCACCACCATGTTAACCACTAAGCCATGTCCTGAAGTCCCACATCCACACATTTTTTGAATGCTAACAGGAAGGGTGACTCCACTACTGCTCTGGGCAGTTTATTCCAGTGCTTTACAACCCTTTCCATGAAAATTTTCCATATATCCAATCTAAACCTGGTACAACTTGAGGCTGTTTCCCCTTATCCTGTCACTTGTCACCTGAGAGCAGAGCCCAAGCCCGCTTGGCTCCAACCTCCTGTCAGCTAAGCTTCCTTTCAGTACTGCAGCCAGGAATCTACTCCTACTTCACCTGGGAGCTTTGTGTTTGAGCACAAAAGGAAATTACAGGGCTTAGGCACTTCCTAAATCAGAGAACAGCAAAGAGCCCATCCTTGGATGAGGCTGAAGGACCAATACTTTACCAAAGCCTTGAAGGACAGGCACAGTGGGACACTGGGGTATTGCACAGGTCTGTGTCCTTTCCATTTCACATCATCTTGTGGCTTCTAAGTCCTGGCCAGGCCTTCCAGTCTGGGCAAAGCCAGTCCTAGTGTGTCCAGACCCATGTCCAGTGCATCCACTGGAAAAGTATATCAGGAGTCCCTAAAACCAGGTGCTGCAGTAATTTCTTCAGTTTCCTGAAGAGATCAGAGCCCAGGATCCTTCCAGCAAGGTATTACAGGTACTACTGCAGGTAAGAACTGAAGAAATCCTCAGAAAAAAGTGCAAAATGCTAGAAGAGGACAGAGCTGGAGGGAAAACAAAACTCAGCAACCTCATTAAAGCTTTTCTCCTTCCTCTACTTAACAAGAAGAATGTTTAATTAAATCCTCCTTCAAGCCTTCCCCCTCACCCAGCAAGGCTCAGAAGAAAGCAGAGATTTAACAATTTCCTCTACAGCACAGGACACCTCAGTGGGACAGGAATTTGCATATTCTAAAGAAGCAGTGAATCGCTGATTCTCTGTTGCTGAGCTGCAGTGGGGAGGGACAAAATCAGCAGGAGTACATTTCAGATCTGCTCAGGAATAAGGGAGAGCAGGAGGAGAAGGAACAAATTGCTGTTTATTCCAAGTCTGGAGCTTTCCCAAGGCAGGATTTTGATTGTATTATGCACAGACTTCTCACTTTATTTGCAAGTCTCTTGCAGCTTACTAGGCCAGCTCAACTGGCAACTGCTGCTGATTTTAAGTCCAATTATAGCCACTTCTACCTGGTGACACAGCCTCAGTTCTGCAGCCAATTCTCACCCATTAATGCCTCCAGAATTGGTAGAACTTGCTATTCATGGCAATCACCAGTGACCTCAAAAATACTGTTTCCTGTCATAATTTCAGCCTTGTTTGTTTTCACTGAAACATCTCCCTGTGTGTTCCAACTCTTGGGACCACTTCTGTGTACTGAGCTGAGACACATATTAAAGACAAGTTTTCAACTCTGGCTCACTTACAATCAAAAATAAGCTCAGAGACTCATCCTCCTGGGACAGAAGTACCACCAAGGTCCCTCTACTAGAGTCCAGACAATCCTAGGGAAGTTGTCCCCACTCCTCATGATCTAGTTCTCTTATGAAAGACCACAGAAACACAACAATGGGATTTTTTTTTTTTTTTCTGATGGGTCTTTCAATCAAACAGAACAAAAAGCTCTAAAAAGTCAGAGGCCTCAGCCCACCATTTTGCACTTTAGGGGACACCAAGGAGGACTTCCAGCTCTGCACACCCCAGGAAACTAGGCTCTATATACCTGCACCACACAAAGTAAACACACAGGTAAATAAACCAAACCCTGAGAGGGGCCAGCTTGACACCCAAGAGATTTACAAGGAACTGCAGCAGGATGGATTTAAACAGGAATTTGTGCTTCTATGTCTCCCTCTGAGTACTTCTGAATTCCCCCCAAGAAGTACCACAAGCAGCCTTGCATTTCACCAAAGGGAAGATCTATTCTGACCTGAAACTCCATTGAAAAGGTAGGAAATGTGTTCTGAGCAAGATGCTTGTGGCAATTAGAAGAACTGGGCTCTGCAGCTGGCAGGGGATACAGAAATCATAGGATGGTTTGGGTTGGAAAGAACCTTAAAACACATCAGTTTCACTCCCTGCCAAAGACAGGGGGACTTCCACTAGATCAGAGTGCTCAGTGACACATCCAGCCTGGCCTTGAACACTTCCAGAGATGGGCCAGCCTCAGTTTCTCTGGGCAACCTGTTTCAGGTCCTCACCACCCTCATTGGAAAGAATTTTTTCCTAAATCCAAAATGAATCTTCCCTCTTTCAGCTTAAAGCCATTCCCCCTTGTCCTAATACTGTAAAATCCCTTGCAAAAAATGCCAGGCAGAAAGAAGATGCTCAGGCCTACCCAGGTCTGAGTGTAATTGTACAAAACAGCCATGGATTATTCAGTGCAGATAAATGAACTTTGCTCCTGGAACACCGCAGGGTTCACCAAAGACACAGCTGGGAAAGAGCTCTGAAGCAAGGGATGGATGCAGCAATGACCAGGACAGAAAAGATGCCAAAACTACAGCTCTGAGCCAGTCAGGAGCAGGAGCTGGACCACAGGTCAGCTCAGAACTCCACAAGCACCTGTCTGCTGGAATATAGGGAGGTTTTCTGTAACTTTTGTGATTCCAATGGTCCATTAACCATGGACTGCAGTCAGCATTCCCAGGCCATCTCCTCATTCAGTGTCTAAAAGAGAATGGATGAAGCTGGTCTGCCAAACTGCCCCAGTACAGCCTGTGCCCTAAACTTAATTGGTACAAAGCTGTTGGAAAACACTAAAGAATGTTCTGCCTCAATTCTGACCAATTCCCAGTGTCCTTGACAGGGAACAGGAGCTCCTGCTGGAACTGCTTTGCTCCTCTCTGAATGTATAATGAAGTTCTAAAGCAGCAGCCCAACCTCCAGCTCCCACAGGGCCCTGCAGGAACCCCCTCTAGCAAAGGACTTCTTTTACCATGAATGAACAGTAGATTTTTGTTTGTGTCTCAGTGATTTATGTTCATCTGTGAGACTTAGTTTCGTTTTAATGTTGCAACAAAAATAAATTTCAAGGAAGCTTTTACTGACAGCTATCCATCATCTGTGTAGGGTGGAAGAACTCCACACACAGGAGTCAGTGCATAAATTGGCTGATAAGCAGTTCAGCCCAGCCCTTAAGCTTGCCTAGAGGGGAGATTTCTCACTTTCCCTTTGTACTTCTCAGTCTCCTCTAACCAAAATCACCGGTTTACTTACACCAGATGGTAAACAAGAAGCCACACAACCTTCCCAGAGAAGGACCACTCTGGTGCCCCAGCAGATCACCACAATCACCAACTCCCACCATAAACCAGACCCAGCAGATCTCAAGAGCCCCACAAGAGCTTCCCAGGTCAGACACCACTAGGGATAAGACCCAAGGTCCTACAGGCTTTCAAACTACAACTTCCTGAAATGCAGCAAGTGGAAAATCAGAGCCTCTTGCCGAGTCTAGAGCCACAGACTTCCTGCACAAGACTTCATCAGTCTTACATCCCCTTCCAGAGCTCCTTTCCTGAGGGCAGGCACCTGTTCAAGTACCTAGTAAGTCCCATCCCAAACCCAGGGCAGGATGACTTGTCTTCTGTGGCCACATGCCTAGCTTGGACAGAGCACAGGGGCAGCAGGAAGGGTGGTAAAGGCTCAACAAGGAGGCATGTTCAGCCAGGAGAAAGTTGTGTTCCTTTAGGAAGTGGCGTTCAATCCATCTTCCTCAAACACTGCCTTAGCTTCCTCACAAGCACAGAGACAACTTTAAACAGAGCTGATGGAAAGGCTGCCAATATTCATTTTCTTCTAGCAAATAGGTACTGCCTTTATTGCAGGAGAGACAACAGCAGCAAACTGATGGCCCTGAGCTGGGGATGGCTCATGGAAGAAGGATGTTGCCATTTTCCAGAACTCTTTCCCTAGGGTTTCCCCCAAAGCAAGAGACCACTGACGATTTCCACTCCTGCTTGCATCCCCCTGAAGACTTTGAGAAAAAAAAGAACTATAAAAGAACCTTTGTACATTTATAAACCTGTCAATTTTGCTAGAAGACTTAAGGCTTTAAAGAGTCCAAAATATCTACTTGAAAATTTTTATCCAGACTTCTTTTAACACTTAAAAAACACCCAGAAATAAAATAGATTTTTCTGAAGTGAAGCATTCCAACAGCTCCAGACAGAAACATTGGAGAGGAGGAGAAAATCCAATTCTTAAGTTTGACAGGAACTTTTTTTTTTCTCCCTTTCTTTTAACTGGCAGAGAAACAAGACTACAAGAGCTATTTCAGCCCCTGGCTCTGACCAGGAATAGCTGGGATGAACAGTACAGGAAACAACAAACCAAACTTACTCAACTGCTGGCAGTTTCGGGTCCCTGTCCCACACATGCTTTGCCCCAAAGAAAAGATTCTCCAAGGTGATGATGTAGCAGTATTCCACCCTACCATCCTGCCCTTCCTCTCCACAGACTCACAACACTTTCTAATTTGCTTCAAAAGCCTCCCCTGCAGAGGATAAGCAGGTTCCCCACCTGAGAACATTACAGGCATGACAGGTTTTGGGAGAGCGCAGCCTTTTTCAAGACCTGGTTACCTTGACTTCTTCTCAGCCATAAGAATTGAGAGGGTCAAACATCTGGCAGCACATTTCTTTCTCCATTTCCATGTACTCCTTGTAGTATCTGCAAAGTAGAGCACAGGATGGCATCAGAGGCTGGAGACTGTGACACTGAGGGCACCACAGACAATCTGAAAATAATGTTCTATTTTGGATATAAATAAATTAACATACTGGAAGAGTGTGCTAGCAGCAGAGACACGGCTCCTCCAAGCCCTTCTTTCTACAATGTCAGGGAATGACAGCTGGAAATGTCACACCTCATCCCCAGACCTTGGGTCTCTGCTCTGCTTGGGACTAATTAGATCATTTGCCTTCTGTGATATAGGTGCTTTCTACAATAGTTTTGGAAGCATGGAAGCAGAGGAACCCCACATGTGTGCAGTGGGATACTTTTGTGTGTCATTATGCAAGTTCTTCTAGCACTCAGGAGATGTTGTCCAACTGCACACAGCAGGATATCTACCATGGATATAGGATAGAGGATGGGCAGGAGACAGCAGGGATTTGTGTCTGGACTAACTGGATGGCAAGGCAGATGTTTCATCCTCTGTTCTCTCTTCCTTGCCAGTGACACAGGATGGCAAAAGCTTCATAGTCTGCTCCATTTGAACTTCTCCAAGCACAGCATCCTCTGTGCCCTGTGCTTTCACCTCACTGGTAAGGAATCCCTGAGCTGCAGGGTGACTCAGTTTGGGAACACTGTCCCAGGGACCAGTGGCTGCTCACGAGTTCGGCTTTCCTGCATCTGCTGCCATATAAGGCCAAAAGCAAAGGGTTTTGAGCAACACATTAGAACCAACCCCAGTGAGAGGCTGGCTCAGGCTCTCTGAGCCCCAGCCCTCAGCACCCTTGAGGCCCAGAACCTCAGAGGGTGTGAAATCCCAGCACAGCAAATCTCTCCTGGTAAGTCACACAGAAGTCGGTGATCAAGGATGCCCACCTGTAGATGGCATATTCCCACTCCTATGACAGCAGGAAATGCAAGAGCCCCTTGTTTGGAGGAACAGATTAATGCCAGATATTGGAAGAACCCAAATTCATTGTGGTTTTGATGCAAGTCTTCTAATGAAATTCTCAGATCCAGCAGCAGAATTTGCACCAAATTCACCACAGCTGGCACCAGACCCACCCTACATACCTCTCACCCTGGATTCTGCCTCTTGATCTCCAAGGGACTTTGCCAAGAACCTGTTTCAGGCAGTAAACAGATGCATTCCAAAGCTTTGTTTTAGACAGTAAAAGGGAACTTGCTGATTACCACACAACACTACTTTTAACAAAGTGTAAATATACACAGTAAGGAACTGAAAAGCCACTAAGAACAAAATTTTGATTCATATTCTATTTCTGAAGCGTTTCTCAGATCATACAAGTTCTCAGGCAAGGGCAGGCTGGCAAACATTATATATCTAACCAGAGGTAAGGACTCATTAACAACACCCAGTAACACTTGCTTCATCTGTTTTACACAAAAAAAATCCACTCTTTGTCACAGGAAAAAGACTTCTCCTGCACTGTTGCTTCCAGCTTTGTGATCAAACATCAGAAAGACATAGAGCTGCTGGAGTGAGTCCAGAGGAGGCCATGGAGATGCTCCAAAGGCTGGAGCCCCTTTGCTCTGAAGACAGGCTGGGAGAGCAGGGATGTTCACCTGGAGAGGACTCCAGGAAGACCTCAGAGCCCCTTCCTCTGCCTAAAGGGGCTCCAGCAGAGCTGGAGACGCACTTTGGACAAGGTCCTGGAGTACAAGACAAGAGGGAATGGCTTTCCACTGCCAGAGGGCAGGGCCAGATGGAACATTGGAAAGAAATTCTTCCCTGAGTGTGGTGAGGCCCTGGCACAGGTTGCTGAGAAAAGATGTGGCTGCCCTATCCCTAAAGTGTTAAAAGCCAGGTTGGACAGGGCTTGGAGCACCCTGGTGTGGTGAAAACAGTCTTTGTCCATGGTAGTGGAATGAGCATTAAGGTCCCTTCCAACCCAAACAATTTCATGGTTAAAAGCAAAAAATATATCAGTTTTAACAGGTAACAAAGCAGGAACTCCAGGACAATAGTGTTTTAATGTGCACACATACACTCACTGAACATGCTGCACTCTACAAAGCTGGAGCTGATAAAGGCAGAAATGCCTTGCTGCTTCCCAGCCATGCTACCTCAACACGATTGCCAAGATTTCTCTTTTATCTACCAACATATTTCAAACAAATCTAAGCGAACACATGAGGCTTCTAGAATCAGGCCTTCTAGCACTGTACATGTACTAGCATCCAAGAGCAGCCAGACACATCTAGTTTAGAAATCCCCGCCATCAGTGGACAATTTGGTAGCTCCATATCCAGTGGGAGATCAGGATGAATACGAGAGATTAATTTAAAATTTCCAGACCAGCAACTAATATTGCCTTCAAGCTCCTTGTACTTCAGAAGCAACAGAACAAATTTGAAGACTTGGTGTTATGACAGACTATTAAAGACAGCATGGATACACAGGACAGAACAGCCTTCCACCAACACATCCCCTGGCAGAAGGCACTCAGCCCACCAGACTGGCTTTTCCAGCAGCACCAACCACTCTTTTTAGATGTTACTGCTGCCTTTCTGCAAGTGCCTGGCAGTGACATACAGAAGAGGGTTTGTATTCAAGGGCTGCTTTGTGAGTTCCAGAGCTGAGGACAGCATCACTCCTGCCTTAGTAAACAGCGCTGGGAGGACAGCACACACTTTTGGGAAAAAGTTAATGCTTTTGGCAGTTTCAAAGGAACAGCATCATGAGGGCATAGACAAGCATTAGTCATGTTTTGGTGGGGCTGGAGAATGACTAAAGCTGGCAGGATAGCCTGTGGGCAAAGGGAGAGTTCATCTTCAGGGCTGTTCATTTATCATCTCCAAGACAGCAAGAAATTCACCTTTAATGAATATTATTACTGTGCATTGAAGGACTTGCAGTGCAGAAAAGCTGCTGAAATTAACCAACACATCTTAAAAGGAATGAAAATCATACTTATTGAGAACATTAATTGGTGGAGCATCAGCCAACTGTATTTGAAGCATTTTAGTAGCCCACACATCCCTGTCCTCACCCTGATCTGCTCACAAGTCAGGTAACAGACATCCCACCAAAGAAATATATGGAAAGGGTGGGTGTTCCCAGCTCCTCACTTGCAGGCTTTTTGGGCCTGAAAAACGTTTCAAGCTGTTTTCTCCACGTGTGTTTTCCCAAGTCACTTATTAACCCAATAGTTTGGGGTTTTGCGGGTTTTTTTTAACATTTAAAATATTTTGGAATGGGTATTACAGCCTGTGCAAAGACTCTCTCTTCCCCAGGTATGGAAAGCACGGCTCTCACCTTGCCAACTTCTTCAGCTCATTGTTAATATCACGGTTGAAAGGCTGGATGCACTGAGCTCTGGCCAGGAAATCCCTGGATTTGCTGTACTCCCTCATGTAGAGACAAGCCTATTATGGAAAGAAGATGGATGCATCACAAGATAAATACACACCCACTGCCCTTCTTCAGTCCTCATGCAAAAACAAACATTCCTGAGACAGAGAAAAGTAACTCAGGAACACCCCAGGAAAAGCTCTGTGTGACATTTACAAGAAAGCCAGACTTTCCAAAAGGGCAGATGCTGACAAACCACCTTGACTGCTGCAGCAGCCCAGAATTCAGAGATTCTTTCTGGGCTTCCTCCACAGCCAGGCCAGGATGTTACATGATTATTTATTTGCCCACCTGGCCACACCTGAACAGTGCTTTGGCATTTCTTGGGTCCATCTCCAAGGCTAACTGCCCGTATTTCAAAGCTCGGTCAGCACGTTCCAGTTTCAGGTAAGTGAGTGAAAGATTCAGGAACAGCAGCAGTTTGGAAGCGTTGATCTGGCTCTGCTCTGCCTTACTGGAAGAGCTGCGACCCAGGATGGACAGTGCCTGAGCAGAGAGGGAAAACCAGACAGTGCACAACAAATCCAACATGTAAAGTGAGAAATCCATCTCATCCAACAGCTACACCTGTGTTTCTGTTCACCTAGGAAACTTAAAAGTAATAACAATCAAATTTGTAAATACAGGGCATGGCATTCTAAGCATGACTAGTCATGGTGACCATATGACCACCAGTTTAGGAACTTACCATGGAAAGCAGCAGAATAATAATTAAAAAAAAAAGGACCCAGGACTCAGATTTTAAGGATAAATATGGAAATATTACAAGACAGAAGGCAAGTCAAATAACTTTTGCTTCAAAAATACCAAGCAAAAGTAACTTTGAATCATCTCTACCTCTGAAAAAGTAGCATATCCCTTCCAGTTTGAGAATAACTGAGCATACCCTGCCTGGAAAGGGAGCTGAAGAGGCCCAGCCTGGGATAAAGGATCAGGGGGTACCTTCTTGCTCTCTACAATTCCCAGACAGGAAGGTGCAGCCAGATGGGGGTCAGGCTCTGCTCCCAGGTAGCTGGACAAGACAAAACAGCCTCAAGTTGCAGCACAAGAGGTTCAGGTTGGATACTGGGGAAAATTTCTCACTGAAAGAGTTGTCCAGTCCTGGCACAGGATGTTCAGGGCAGTGGTAGAGTCCCCATCCCTGGATTTAACAGCCCTGTGGATGCGGCACTTGCGGACATGGGTTAGTGGTGGCCTGGGCAGTGCTGGGGAACAGTTGTACTTGATGGTCTCAGAGGGCTTTTCTAACCAAAATGATTCTGTGACTATTCCTTCATTTACCACTGCTGCTCACAGAAAACCAGATGTGCAAGCCCTGTTCTGAAGTAACAGACTATGCCTGGAAAATACCACAAAGTTATTTGATCTCTAACCTGTACCTGCTGTGGTGAGCTAAAATAATGTCTTCTTTCACAGCTTTCCCAAAGCACACCCCACATTTTCCTGGTGCCATACCCTCTTGTATCTGTCCTTGGCAATCTTGAAGCACTGCTTATAGAAGAAGTAGTTGCCAAACTCTCTCTCTGTGGCTGCCACTTTCAGCACCTTTTCTAAAGGAAGTCTATCCCGTTGTTCCTGTGTGAAGAAATACCTAAATTTCAGCTCAAGCTAAAGAAAACAGGCAGAGAAATCAGACAGGACAGTCCTGCACAACCCCCTCCTATTCACAGAGCAGAAGCCAGGCCCTTACTAAGGTCAGGCCACCACCATGTGGTATCTCCCCAGCCAGGCTGAAGCATGACAGTGTTCTTATGCTAGTTATTGCTAGTGAAGAGGTCAGGAAGCTCCTCAGGCCCAAAGGGGGACTGAAAAAAGCAGGAATATATCTTTAAAACCTGCCCAACTCTTCCAGCACACAGCTGAGTTAACATAAATGCAGCGACTGGCACAAAGCTGCTTGAAAGGGTCCCTTGCGCTAATTGCTCTCAGGCCAGCTCTGGGACAGCCTGATACTCCCAAAGACATCAACCAGTAAAACAAAAACCCCATCAATCATTGGAATGAAAGATGAAAATGGAGGGACAGGTTTTCTTCTGGGTCCACAAGCTGGAACCAGATCATAGACAGAGGTCAGTCAGCAAAAATGGGTGAGCAAGGGGCAAGGAGGGAACACAAGTGTGGTTTGCTCACAGGGCTCTGGGGGAGAATTTGCCTGTGCAGAGGCTGGAGGGGGCTGGAGGGCCTCCCCCCATTAGCTTCTGCTTCCACTTACTGACCCACAGCCACAGCCCAAAGCCCTTGACATGAAAAGGTGAATTAACAATAACACTGTAACTCAGCAGGGAGGAAAAAACAGAGAAGGAACACCTGGGAGAGGAGCCAAGAGGCAGAGACAAAGGGTGGGGGCTGGTGGGGCACTGGGACACCGCAGACTGAAGAGGATTGTTACAGACAGCTCCTTACTGTTACTTAAAGAAACTGCTGGAAATTGGTGCCCTCTAGCGCAACCACGAGGTTTCTGGTAAAACTAAAAATAAATGGGGGCCATTCCACTGACTCCATCCAGCACAGAGGAGCAAACAAAGGCAGATCCTGCCTTCTCTCTCTGCATGGGAAGGCAAGCAAGACATGGAGGGACACAAAGGGCATGCACATGGATCAGAGCAGAGCTGGAAGCCCAGGGACTGGATACTTGCACAAGCATTCACCTGAATGCACACAAGCCACAGTAACTGAGAGACAGGACAATGATGGTTCACCCTCCAGATTTCGGTCTCAAGCCTTATTAAGAGAACTCACATAAGTCAACTCAAAGAACGCGTCGCACTCCTCTGAGTCTATGAAGTCCAGCACCTCCACCTTGAAGAGGACGGTGGTGTTTGGAGGGATGGAAGGAGGACAGCCCCGCTGGCCATAGGCGTATTTTGGAGTGAGGATGAAAAGTGCAGCCTCTCCTTTGGTCATAGACAGCAGCCCAATCTCCAGCCCACACAGTGTGATGTCTGTCACAACAAGGGGTGGGACAGGTTAGGTTCACAAACACCAACACCCTGACACCAAACAATGATTTCTCCTTAAGCCTAAAGGAAAAAAATTCCCTGGGAGCTCCTCAGTAGCTTGTCTCAGCAACTACAACCAGCCAGTTGCTCCAGAAGGGATTATCAGGGCAGCCTGCTGTGGGACTGCGCACATTGTATTGCAAATCCAGAGTGGGATGAGTTGGAAGGGGCTTTAGAGATCATCCAGTCCAAGCCTTGTCATGGGCAGGGACACCTTCCACTAGACCAGCATGCTCCAAGACCTGTCCAGCCTGGAAAACATCATCTCTCAAGAGATTTAGAACTATCTGAGGGCAGGTGGGAAACACCTCCCTACCACTCCCAGGCAGAGGGTGAGCAAGTCCAGATTTCATCTCCCATGTGAACCAGGAGGATTTAGTACTCCATGAATAAGCATTAAAGGTTTCAAACTACCTAAAGACACCAAACAGTATTTTAACTGAAATGCCTTAATAAAATCCAAGCCCCAGGACAAAGTTTGTGGCTCAAACCTACCTTTTCCAAGTTTCATCAGCCTTGGATACTTGCTGTTCCCGTTTGAACAGAAGAGCTTATTCCAATTTCCCAGGTACCCGGAGTACTTCACTGTACAGAGTGGGGAGAAGGAAAAACCAAGAGTTTAACTTCATATCCCATACTGGCAAAATCAGGAACGCACTAGGAGTTGTAACCACCCAGCTATCCTGCTTCTCCTTTTCCATTTGGCTGTAGAACAGCAGAGGCAGCACAAACCCTTCTGTTTTACACAAAAAACCTGGTCACATCCAAGCAGCCAAGTGCTGTATGTTTTAGCATCTTTCCCAGACAAAGCAGGTGCTTCACATCCTGAGGTATTTAAGAGATGTCATTTTGTGCTCTCCAGAAATGGAAACTCCAGCTGAGCAAATTAAAACGCCCCAGTTATATGCAGAAATACTTAAAAAGAATTCCCGAACCAAAGCTGGAGCTCTGGAAAGAGGAACAAGGGGAAAAATGTACTGCCATCCCAACCTCTGCATCTGTAACTCCAGTTCTGCCTCAGAAAATGCACTGTAATGGGCTTCTCTTGACACAGCACCAGGGCCCTCTACTTCAGGAACCACTTCCAGCCTCAAACTTCTCAAGTTTTCCTCAAGGTCGAGATGCCTTTTCATTTAATGTGTCAGCCACAAGAAGTTAAACAGGGTATCCCAAGCATTACAATACTGATAAGGAAAGGCAACAGTCTCTGAAACAGAGACACACCACCGTGTAACATCAGCACTTTTAAGTCCTTGTTGTAGACTTTGCCAGCCACCAGCACCTCAACATTAGAGTCTTGGGGGATCCTTCCCGATAGGCTTTGCCCCCTCTGTTTCCCCCAGCACCTGCTTCAGGTCCAGCCACGCAGGACAAACCTCACGCCAAGACACAGGTGACAGAGACAAGCACCAAGCCCTCGCTCCAGCCCACACTTCCAAGGATTTTTGCTTTCTTAGTCTTGCTGAACACAGACTAAACTAAACGATTCCTATATAAAAGCTTCTTAGAAGATGATTACTGGTGCCTTAACTACCTGTGAATTCAGGCAAAGCATTACTTCAGAGCACCCTGAACCGCCCCGGGGCAGACACGGCGAGCTCGGGCGGCTTCACTCCAGGACAGACTGATGAGATTGTGAGAACAGTGGAATGGTATGGGCTGGGAGGGACCTTGAAGATCATCCTGTCCAACCCCCTGCCCATGGGCACGGATGCCTTCCACTAGAGCAGGTTCCTCCAGCCTGGTCTTGAACATTTCCAGGAATGGGGCAATCACTGCTTCCTTGGGCAACCCGTGCCAGAGAAATGGGACATCCTTAACAGGGGTGCTCGGTCCTGGCCACGGGACCTCCCACGGCCCACAGGAGGCTCCGGAGGCCCCAGACCCAGCTCTACCTGCCACGGAGGCGGATGGGGGCACAGGCTGCCCAGTGCCGGGGCACAGCCGCTCCTTGCGCACCCCTCCATCACCGGTCAGGTCCTGCAGGGGTTGGAGAGACTCCGAGGCCAGAGACAAAGAGGGTGTCGAGGCCGGGGTCGGTCCCGGGGCCGGGGTCAGTGTCAAAGCCCACGTCGGAGTCGAAGCCGGGTCCAGGCCCAAGTCTTGCCACGAGACCTCGAGCTCCTCCTCGCCGGCGGTGCCCGCCATCATGGCCGCAGCGCGTCTCTTCCGCGCCTCACCCGCTCCGCCAAGCGGAGCGCCCCCAGCCAATCACGCTCCGAGCAGCGGCCCCGTCCCAACGCGCAGCTTTAGAACCACGCGAAAACGGACACGCCCCTGCGCGGCTCTGGACCAATGGAAAGAGAAACGTCACGGAGCACCGCGATGCACGCTGGGAATTGTAGTCCGCGGCGTGCACTGCCTCCGTACTTCGTTAGAACAAAAAACCCGAACCAAAACCAACCCAAAACTCAAAAACCAAAACCAAACCCCACAAAAACCGCATCAGAAAACCCAACCAGCCTACGATAAAAACACAACTACCAAAAAACAAAACCCCAAACCAAAACACAATCTAACAAAAACCCAAACCAAAGGAAAACCAAAGCCAAACCCACACCCAACACCAACCAACCAGCCAGATGGTTCTGGGACAGTTTCAAAGCCATGCCGATGCTGGGATACCGCCTCCTGGTGGCTGTTCTGGCTTGTCCTTTACCCTCCATATACAGCTCTGAGCTTCCGGAAGCAGATCCTTCGTTATCGGAGCAGACCCTTCTTCCCAGGGCTGGGTATTCTTTGCTCTGCTTGAGCGCAGCATGAACACCACCAAAGTCTGCAGCAAATCCCCACCAATCCATCACACACAGGGTATCACAGGGTCTAACAAACAGTAGTAATGTCAGTGTGCTTCCACATGCAGGGACCGGATGGGGTGCCCGGGGCTGGTGACCAGGGCCACTGGGGTGATAGAGGTGGCTGGGATGGCCCGGGTAACCAGGATGGTCAGAGTGATTGGGTGGTCAGGGTGGCTGGGATCACCAGGATGAACAGGGTGATGGGGTGACTGGTGTCACTGTCTGACCAAGGTCACTGATGATGGGGTGTCCAGGATGACTGACCCGGGGGTGACCCGGGTCGCTGGCTGGCCGGGGTGACCAGAGTGGCCTAGGTCATTGTGATGATGGCGTGGCCGGGGTGGCCGGGATCACTGAGGTGATGGGGGTGACCGGGGTGACCGGGGTGACCTGGGTCCTTCCGCCGGCGCTGCCGCCCAGCAGCGCCCGCACGGTACCCGCGCGCTCCGCGTCTTCCGCCCGCCCTGCCCCGAGCNCCTTGTGCCGCGGTAGCGTGGGGCGGCGGGGCCGCGCTCACTCGTCGCCTCCCCGCAGGTCCTGGTGTATGACTTGCTCTTCGGCAAGGGGCTGAAGTGCGGGGGCCGGTGGAAGGTGCTGGCCCGGCGGCACCGGGCGCGGCTGGAGGCCGAGCTGGCCCGCATGAAGGTGCGGTACAAGGTGAGCCGCAACGAGGACCTGCTGGCTCCGGAGAAGGCAGTAAGCACCGCAGGTGAGTAGGCTCGGGCTGGGTGGGCTGCCTGTGCTGCGAGCATTGGGGGGCTGTGACCTACCTGTCTGGCCCCTGCAGCCTCCCAGGTCCCACGTTACATCCGGGTCAACACCCTGAAGACTTGTGTGGACGATGTGATCGACTTCTTCAAGCGTCAGGGATATGCCTACCTGGGCAAGGCGGCCAGGTGAGTATTTCTTTCTATCCCACCTTTCCCAGGACGTCAGCAAGTGGCATGGGATGAGGTCTGGTGGGTTGAGGGGTTGCTGAACTTGGTGCGTAGAGTGGTTTGGTTTGGTTCTCCTTCACTCCTTTTTGGATGCTGCCTATCTGGGTGCTGCCTGGAGCTGGAGAGGAGCTGTGGGATGAAGGGGTTTCTCAGCCTGGGCTTTGCTGAGAGCACTGAGATTAGGACTTCAGATTCATGCTTCCTATGTCTCATGGGCAGTGTGGAGGAGCTGAAGGCCCTCTCTGGAAAAAAATTCTTGTTGGATCTGCATCTCCCAGAGCTGCTGGTGTTCCCTTCGCAGACAGACCTCCATGACAGCCTGCTATATACTTCAGGACACATAATTCTGCAGGACAAGGTGAGGGAACTGGGGAGCAGGAAGTTACTGACAAGGATGAAGGGTGAGCTTCTTCCACAGTGGCTCAGCTTGCTGCAGCATTTAAGTCTAAGCAGAAACTGTGGCTCCCCTGGGGCTTTGCTTCCATTGTTTGAAGGCTCTGGATGAAATTCTGGGGTATAAAACCCCTGTGGGAGCTGGGGACCAGCAGCTGGGAGGAGCAGGAGGCTGTGGGTTGAGCAAGGCTGTTGGTAGAGTGTGGTGGTGGTCTTGGTCCTGTGTCGTGGTGGTCCCTGTGACCCCACAGCATCAGCTGTGCCTGAGGAGGGGCCACCCCCCTGAAACCTGAGGTGGTTTTCAGCCCACCCCTCTGACAGTCTTTGCCCTCTTGCAGGCCAGCTGCCTCCCTGCCTTCCTCCTTGGCCCTGTTGCTGGCTCCCATGTCATCGATGCCTGTGCTGCCCCTGGAAACAAGACAAGCCATCTGGCTGCCATCCTGAAGAACAAGGGGTAAGGGCAGGGTTGTGTGCAGGAGTGGAGGGAAGGCGGGAGGTGGCCCTGGTCCCCCCAAGCCCAAAGAGAGCACAAGAAGGTGGTAGGAAGAGCTGCAACCTGTCACCAGCTCAGGTGAGCTGGTGGCTCTGACAGTTCTGGGCCACTGGAAGGACCTGAGGGGATGTGAAGTCATGTGGGGGTTTGATCCCAGCCCTAGCCCTGTTCCATAACCCTGCCAGAGGGGAGGCAGCTCTCAAGGTCTGCCTGCCCAGTATTTGAGTGTTCCGGGGGCCAGGTGGTCTGTTCACAGCTTCTCTTGGGTGCTGGGCTCTGCCTTCAGACAGATCTTTGCCTTTGATGTGGACCCCAAGCGCGTGGCCACCATGAACACACTGCTGACACGGGCAGGGGTCACTGGCTGCCAGCTGGCCCAGCAGGACTTCCTGACCGTGGACCCCAGAGACCCCAAATACAGCAGGGTGACTCATATCCTTCTTGACCCATCCTGCAGTGGCTCAGGTAACATGTGAGGCTCCAGCTGCTCACCTGGAGCCAGGCTGTGGGTGTGCAAACCCCAGGTGACAGTTCCTGTCCTGCAGGGATGGTGACCAGAGGGCCAGGGGAGGAGGTGGCCCCGAGTGCTGAACGTTTGCAGGCACTGGCTGGCTTCCAGCGCCGGGTCCTCAACCATGCCCTGAGCTTTCCGGCTCTCCAGCGCCTGGTCTACTCCACCTGCTCCCTACACCAGGAGGAGAATGAGGATGTGGTGCAGGCTGTGCTGCAGGAATGGGGCTCAGCCTTCAGGTGGGTTTGGCTCAGGGAACCTGGGGCCTGTAGGGCAGGGTTTGGTGCTGACCCCTTTTCCGTGACACAGGCTTGTGAATGCCTTCCCATCCTGGCCCTGTCGAGGACTTGCTGCCTTCTCTGGAGCAGAGAGCTGCCTCCGTGCTTCCCCTGCAGAGACCCTCACCCATGGCTTCTTTGTGGCTGTGCTGGAGCGGTGCCAGGAAGGGGCTGCTACCCCCAGGTGGGAGAGGGCTGTGGGGGACTCCAGCTGCTTCTGGGGGGCACCTTGACTATGGCCAAGGTCAGTGCTCTGGGCACCCCAGGGAGGGTGTGAGAGGATGTGGCTGTGGGAGCAGAGGACAGGAAGCTGGGGCACTGGCAAGCGCGGCTCAGGCTGTTTTCTCTTGTCCTTAGCTGCCTGCCTGCAGCAGCCAAGGAGAACCCACAGCTAGGAGAGAGAACAGACCCAGGAGCAGCTCCCAAGAAGAGGAAAAAGAAAAAGCAGCGGGTGAAAGAGTGAAACATTTTCTGTACAAACCCCTGCACAGTGGGGACTGTGGGGAACACATACTGGCCTGAACGCAAGTCAAGCTATGTGGCAGCTGCAGTCATAGTGAGACTTCTGTAACACCGGAGGCTGAGTGCCAACACTGGGACCACCCTAGTGCCAGGAAGGGGCAACTGCTCACCCAGGGCTGTGCCTTGCAGCCAGCCCCTGCTCCAGGTTTACCACCAAGGCAATCCCCACTCGGCACTCTGCAGGTCTGGGGCCCTCCAGCTGGACTAAGGGTGGTTTATCGTGTTCCCCTCCCCAAAATTCCAACCCCTAGCTTGATGTGGAGCTTTGGAAAAACATTTCATTGTAGGGATGAAGCAGATTAAAAGTTTCTCTCTCTTCACTGTCTTTTCCAGTGTTTTCATGCAGTCCTGCCCTGACATTGCCACTGCTCATAGTAAAGGCAAAGTGTGGGGAAAAAGGCGAAATAATAATCCTGCCCCTGCACCTCTCTTTGAACTGGGGGAGGAAGGACACATGAGCCAGAGGGTGCTGCACCTGAACCCCATGAGCACCACCCTGCCCTGGGAATCCTGGCCCCAGGAATCACACAGGCACAGCCTTTTAACACAGTCATTTTATTTTAAACTGGGGACATAAGAAGCAAGGAAACAAAAATTGCACATTCACACTAATATCAGCCATAACCGGAATGATCCAAGTCTTCAGTCAGTTAAATCCAGCCTCCCCACAAGCACAATGGGCTCTCCCTGCAGTGCCTGTGTGGCAGGGAAGGGCCAGCCTGGCTCCTCATAGCGTGTGGGATTATGTGGGGCAGCTACTTGGGGGGCAGGACCCAGAGCCAGGGTGCCCTCAACGTTGTCCTAGCTCATCCCCATTTTGTCAGAGTTGACCTGGCCAAACCCTGGCACCTTGAGGATGGGGAGCGGGTGCTCTACTGGCCCAGGAGGCTAGCTGGGGCACCCCGGCTCAGTCTTGGCAGGCACTAACCCCTGCCCATCTGCTTCCTCCAACCCCAAGGACACATTTTCCCAGCCTGGCTGCTCTTGGCCCACTCCCCCCTCATCCATGCTAGTGGATGATAGCCAGAACATTCCCACCAACACCTGCAGGTCCTCTGTGTCCCCTAACTACAGGGCTGTGTCCACTCTATTCAACACAGTCCATCCCCTGTCCTTTCTGCTTGGAGACGCCTTGACCCTGGCACTCGGCACCATAATGTGAGAGCTCCTGCTCCTCACCCTCAGAGAAATAATTAAAAAAACTTAAAAAAAAAACCCAAACAAAAAGGTTTAGTCACATCCACATACGTCACATTTAAAAGGAAGGGGATGATGTACAGTGGGGGGAGCGTGGCAGAGCCTGCAGGATGCAGCTGCCTTTCCCAGCACAGTGCATTCCTACAGGCACAGCCAGGGTAACAACAGCTAAACACTAACAGCTGTGGGGCAGGCAACTTCACTGAACCAAGCTTGAAGGAATTTGAAGGCAATTTAGCTTAAATATAAAAATAAATTTTTATTTTGTTAAAAAATGTTTAAATATTTGTGATTTTTTTTTTTTTTTTTTTTTTTTTTTTTTTTTTTTTTTTTTTTTTTTTTTTTAAATTTAGACCTCAGCAAACACACACACTCACACGGCTCGGAGAGTAAAAACCTGGCAGCAAAGCATTCCTGGGAATGTAATGCCCATCCCTCAACAGGGACAGGACAGGGGGTGGCTCTTTGGTGACCCCCAGCTCTGGCAGTCTCTTCCCACAGAAACTCCAAGGGAGGGAAGGGTGGGATTCCCACTCTTGGCTGGATGGGGACAGGGGAGGCAGCACCACACTTCCTAAGAGCTAGTAAAACCCACTGGGATGGAGATGAGCTGAAAAATGAAAAACAACTTGGATTTGGGATGGGGGGAAAATGCATCTGCTCTGGACTCCTTCTGTGAGTGGGAGTTGTGGGCCTCCTGAAGTGCAGAAGAGGTACTAGGGGAGAGGGAAAGGGAGGAGAGAGACTGCCACAGTTGGAATCCCCTGTCCTAGCTGCCTTTCAGTCACGACATGGAAGGGACAACTCCCCAGCACGAGCAGCCACGCAGTGATGCTACTGTCAACACCCAATTAGCTGGGGCACGTCTCCCCCCAAGGACTGGTGCCCCCCAAAAAAGAAACTCCAAACAGCAAATCCGGCATAACCAACATGCCGCCACACACACGGTTCAGCTCTTCCTCCAAACTCGACTCAGTGAGCACAGGAACAGAAGCACGGATAAAGCAGAACTGGGGAGCAGGGTGGGGGCAGCCCACAGCCCCACAGAGCAGCAGAAATGGGAGAGGGGTGGGGGGATCCCAATCCTCACCCCACACCTCCAGCCCAGGTCCTGGGCTATGGCATGTCCTCAGCTGGAGATAGCAGGACATTAGGTCCCAGAGAGGGGTGTCACCCAGCTGCACCCACGCCACTCACCTGTGGCACCAAAACAGAGCCAGGCTGGAACCCACCCTGGCTGCAGGCATGGGACCACGTTCACTAGGCCTTGGGACAAACAATGGGAAAGATTTTGGGACCTGGTGAAGATGGTGTCTGACAGCAGCTTGGAACCACAGCATATTGCCAGCCAGGCTCTGAGTGGGACACAGCCTTGGGGCTGGATGAGGGCTGGGGAGGGCCAAGGGAACAGCTAGAAGAAGCAAGTGGGGAGAAATGTACACATTATTAACCAAGGCAAAATAAATTGAGGGAAAGAACATTGTGGATATGTACAGAGATCTGTCCAGCCTTGGCTCTGGAAGTGTTCAAGTAACAAGAGTTTGGTTTATCCCATCCCAGCACGGTCTCTGGTGGGTGTCAGGGATGGGGCCTGGTCCCACCATAGGGACAGCTCCAGCCCAGAGCCCCCACACACGGGCTAGTGGAGTGCAGTAGCACTAGGGTTACTTTTTGCGGGTGTGCTGCCTCCGTGCCTGCAGCCGTTGGCGAGTGCCTGTCTTGGATCCTGCCCCGATGGAGAAGGCGGGAGTGGATGAACCTGGAAGCAAAAAGGTTGCTAAGGTCTCTGCAGCTTTGGAATCAATGCGATCCTCACCCTGGGAGGAACAGAAGGCTCGGTATCCCCCAGAGTCTGGCAGGTACCACCTGAGCTGTGTCCCAGAGCACACCTGGCTCTACCACTGCTCCCAGCCCAAGGGGACACCATGACCCAGGAGCTCCCCAAGGCTGGAGCACCAACTCCCACCTTACCAAAGGAAGTGCCGACTCCTCCAAAGCTCGACGCAGGAGTGCTGGGTGTCCTGAATGAAAGGGTGCCGCTTCCACTGCCCACGGCTCCAGGAACAGGTGTGCTCTGCCCAAAGGTTGGCACCGGAGCTCCTGGAAAGCAACAGGTCATTGTGAGTCAGCATTGACAAAGGAGAAAGAGCCTTTTGGAGCTGGTGGCACCCAAAGGAGGCACAGGGTGAGGGCACAGGAGCCAAAGGAAGCTCTCTGGGGGCTGAAGCACCACAGAACCAGCTCCTGAAAAGTTCTTTTAATTCAAAATTTACACTCCCTGCATAATTACTGGGCTCTTGGAACAGCAGGCCTGCACAGAAGAATTTGCCAGGGAGGAACAAAGACCTTGGCCTTTCCAGATCAAGGAGTTGCTCACTGTGTGGGTTTCAGTTCCACAGGAGCTGGGAATCCAGCAAGGATCTGCAATGTTAGGGAAACCTGAGAGCAAGCATGAAGTGATGGCAGTTGCTGGCTGGCAACATTCCAACTCACTAAGGCATTCCAAGTGGCTGTTAAGGACTCAGATGATCTTGGCTCCTGCAGGACACTCAGATGGGCAGAGCTGGGACACTGGTGCCTTCAGAGGGGCCAATGAGCAGAGTTTAGGGATTCCACTCCCCAGAGGGCCAGGATCCTTACAGGGAGTGATGCGAGTGCCTTTGGATGGCAAGGCTCTACATAGCAGGAGCACTAGCCTCACCAGGGCTGCGAACCCCAGGAGCCTTGGCAAGCTCTATCAGGAATACTATTGCCCAACTCTAGATCCTCAAGATGGCCTGTCTGCCCCCATCTCATTCTGGAAATGTTCCAGGCCATGTTGGACAGGGCCCTGAGCAACCTGGTCTAGTGGAAGGTGTCTCTGTCCACGGCACAGGGGTGGATCAACATGATCTTTAAGGTCCCTTCCAACATGACCCATTCCATGATGACTCACCTCCAAATGCAGGCTTGCTGTTGGGAGTGCTGGTCATGGTGAAGGCAAAGGGCGTGCTCTGGCCCTGAGCTCCCAGCGCACTCTGTTGCAGAGATGAACCAAATGGTGTTGCTGCCGGGGCTGCCCCGCTCTGCCCAGCCCCAAAGCTGAAGGCCACAGCCGGAGACCCACTGCTAAGGCCCAGTGTACCCATTGCAAAGGCGCTGGTGGCGGGGCCTGGCTGGGTGGCAGCCCCAAAGGTGAATGGAGATGGGGTGCTGCCAAAGACAGTGGCACTGGTGCTGCTGCTTGTGGTCTGGGTGGTGGCACCAAAGCTGGATGTGGTGGAGGTGGCTGTTCCAAAAGAGAACACTGAGGTTGTGGTCCCAAACGCTGCCTGGGTGCTGCTAGTGCCAAAGGAGCTCTGAGCACTGTTTGTGCCGAAGGCTGGCTGGGCACCACTGCCAAATGCTGGCTGAGCCACTGACTGTGCTGGGGAGGCTCCAAAACTGAATGGGGGGGTGAAGGTGATAGAGCCAGCAGCAGGCTTGCTGGCAGGCACCTGGCTCTCAGCAGCCCCAGTGCTGAAGGTCAGCTGGCTCCCAGTGCCAGGGTATGGTGGCAGTGGCTTTGCGCTGGCTGAAAAGCTGCCAAAAGCTGAAATGGAGGAGCCAAATGTCAGCGGCACTTGAGCTGTGGTGGCCGAGGCAGAGGTCAGCGTAGTGCTCCCAAATATGCTAAAGCCCACGGTGGTGGCAGCAACTGTCGAGGCTGAAGGTATCTGGCCAAAGGCAGGGCCTCCAGAGACACTGGTGGTGGCAGTGACTGTGGCTGGAGGTGGCTTCCCAAACTGGAACACAGGCCCTGAGGCTGCAAAGCTGGTTTCTGTGCCAGGAGCTGAGCTGGCGAGGCCCCCAAACAGGAAGGGCTGTGCTGTGCTGGTGGAGGTGACAGCAGTGACAGTCACGCTGGAGGCAGGGCCAGTGGAAGCAGGTGGGTTCAATCCAAAGCTGAAGACAGGTTTAATGGTGGCATCCGTAGAGGAACTCTGGGTGGTAGCAGTTGTAGCTGCAGTGGTGAAGATGACGTTGGGAAGACCCGTGAATCCTGCCAGAGTAGCTGTGGAGGCAGTTGGTGGCTCTGAGGCTGGCTGTGCCAGAGGATTGAAGGCAAAAGGAGAGACTTTCGCTGGAGATGAAGCTGCAGTGATGCTGCCAAAGATGGGCTTGAATATGGAGGATGTGGAGGATGTTGAGGCAGGGCCTGAGCTTGCAGACACGGTGACTGTGGTGGAAGTGACAGCTGTGCAGGCTGCTGCGTTCTCACTCTTAGGCACAGCACCAAAGATGGGTTTGAAGACAGGGATTGTGGTGGGCATGGCAGTGGGCACAGTGGGCACAGCAGTGGATGCGGTGGGCACAGCAGTGGTCACTGCTGGCTGGCTGGCTGGAGAGGTGCTCAGCATCCCAAACAGGATGCTTGGCTTTGGGAAGGAGGGAGGCTTGCTGGGGGTCTGACCCAGCTCGGTGAACCCAGGAGGGGCCAGACTGCTGGGGGGTTGCACCACCAGCGCAGGGGGAGCACTGGGGGCAGGTGTGCTCAATACAGGCACAGTCTTGGTGTCAGCAGGGATGGCAGGTAGAGAGCTCGACTCCAATGACGCAGCAGGAGCAGGTGGTGGCGCAGCTGATGGAAGTGGTTGGGATGCTGCTGCAGCTCCAGAGGAGTCTGGAAAGGGGAGAGAGCTTATTTACAGACAAGGAGGCAGCTTCAGAAGCCCACCCTTCTGACAGGTACCCACCCACTGCTGCAAAGGCTCCTCGATATCCCATTACACCTAGCCCTCCATGGTTACCATAGCCTCCAGCAGGACCAAAAGGTGCCTCAGCATCCCCAAAGGTGTCCCCTCAAGCCCTGCCTGCTAGCTCTGCTGCCAGCAGAGCATTTGAACAGAGGGTTTTGTCAGCTGCCTCATGCAGAGGCAACGAGGAGATCCTGCTGCACCTGCCCCATTCTGCTGGCATTCCACTGTGCCAACTCTCCTCCCCCTCCTCACCTGGTGCTGTGGGTACAGCCTGGCTGCTCTGCATCTTCTTCAGGCTGTCCAGGAGTGAGGAGCTGGCTGGGGCAGGAGCTGTGGAGGCAGGCATAGGCCCAGGGGAGGTCACAGCAAACGCCAGTGGCTTGGACACAGGCATCATCTCTGCAGTGGTGCTGGGGACTGTATCTACAGGGAAACAGCAAGATATCAGGACCCACAACTGGCTGTGAGGAACAAACCCTTAGCAGAGCTTCCCAGCAGGCAGGGGAACTGCACCTACACTCTACAGCCCCAGGCAACCTCACCCAGCACCACGTGACATGAGATCTCCTCAGCTAGAGGACATTAAGAGCACCCCCAAACCCAAGCATGATCCTATCCCTCCACATTCCCAGCCCATCCTCACCAGCCTTATCCTCCAAAACACTGTTGAACCACTGCAGCACTGCCTTCTTCTCTGCATCCAGGTCCTCTGAGGTGATGGAGTAGCCCAGCTGAGGTGGTGGAGGCTGCCAAGAGAGAGCAGCAGCAGCTTAGCTCCTTTCCAGGGAAGCAGGCAGAGCCTCTTTGAAGGTGTGCTGGTGATTGGCTGTGGCACGCCCTGTGAAGCAGGAGGTCCTGCCGCAGCTACCATGGAGCTCCGGTTCCCAACTCTGGTGGGCCCCCGGCGTGGCACTGAGGGCACAGCAGGCCTTCCCCAGGCCATTACCTGGTCCGGCAGCAGGCAGCACAACCACGCACAGCCCACCAGACACTGGGGCTGGGGAGAGCGTCACTTCCCACTCGGCCAAGGATGGGGCCTCCTTCCTGAGGGCAGGCAGGTCAGTGTGCCCCCAGCCCTGCAGAAATTGCAGTGAGCACATTCTATTGCCAGAGTGGGGCCAAAGGGGCTGCGAGACAGTGACGTACCAGCACCAGCTGGTCCCCATGGAGGGACGACACCAACGGGATCTTCCGCTTGCGCTTCCCACTGCTCCCCGACGCAGATTGCAGGCTCAGGGAATTCTGCTTCTTCCACACTGATGACTCCACCACTATAGAAGGAGACAAGTCAAGTCAGGCCAAGCTTTGGGCAGAGAAGTGTTTGGTTTTAGTGACGGGGCTGTCCCTTCTGACTGCACTCTGGGTGGTCCCTCTAAGAGGACAGGGCCAGGGGCACAGTCTGAAGCTGAAGACAAGGTTGTGATGTCCCCAAAGAGCAGCTTCACATCCAGGAGGTCCCTGACATGAGGCTAGTAGGGCTCTGTGGGGCAGTGGCCCCTTCCTAGCTCCATGGATGGTGCCAACACACTGCCTACCCAAACCACATGCCACATCTGGCACTGTATCATGGAGTCCATCTGCCATGGGCACAGAGGATTTCCTCTCTGTTTTAGCTGAGGAAGCATTGGAATAAGCTCAGACTGTAATCTGGCCAGGTGCTACGCATGCCACAGCAGGTTGTGGATCAAGGCTGACACCTGACCCATGCTGAGTTGAAAGCTGGAGCTCCCCCTTGCAAGCCAGCTCCCAGGCATCTGCTAGCACCTCAACACTGTCAGCATCCCCTTATCACTTGGAAATCCCACTAGGGCAGTCATTGAGGCCAGCAGAAGTGCCACTGCCTTGGGAGCAGCACATGCCAAGTTTCCACATGACCCTCAAGCCAATCCCACTGCAGACCTCAGCTGCCTCCTGTCCTGCTCTCTTGCTTGCACCAGTGACCTGGATGCAGGGTAAGGGCACACCTATACTTACCCTTCTCTGTCTGCAGCTCCTTGTCTGATTTCACTGGGGTGGAAGCATTGGAACAATGGGACTCCTCTTCCCTGCGTAAGGAGGAGGGACAGTTAGGGTCAACCATGGGCTCAGCCCTATCCCCAGGGCTGACACTGAACAAGATGAAGAATCCTACAAGTATCCCGGGTGTGTTTATTTGCCTCCTGCAAACAGATCTCAGGACAAAAGCTTTGCCCAGCTCCAGGCAGAGGAGTTGCTTCCTGCTCCAGACTCAGCTTGGCTGAGCCTGTGCACCTTCCACAAGACAAATCGGCCTCAGGAGGGTAGCTGGGGGGTCTCAGATGGGAGTCACTGCCTTTTGTAGCTTGGGCCCACCCAGGTAGTTATACCAGTTTTAGTTCAGACATAAGCTTAGGCTCCTCTGACTTGAGAAGGAGGAGAAGACAGGCTGTGCTCCAAGGCAGCATTAAAATAGAGATCCTGGGATTTGACTTTGAGATGGCAAAAAATCAGGGCCTGTCTCTTCCCAATGATCCAGCAATCCAGGCCATGCCAATGCCATCAGGCACCACCACTACTGCGGCAACCTGTGCCCTTTAATCTCTGACCTGGCTTGGTAGCAGGCCAGGGGTGGCACAGCTTGGACATGCCACAGCATAGCCAGGTGACAGGGAGGCGGATTGACACAAACGGGTCTCTACATCATTATGAGAGGAGTCTGCTCTGTCCCAGTGGAAAGTGGGATTTGCATGCTAAGATGGCTGGGAAGGACTGTTTTCTTGCTAGCTGGCCATCAGCAAGCAGGCACTTGCCAGGTGACCAGCTGATTACCTGGCTTTCTTGAGAGGCCACTCTGGTGTCTGAGGGCGGGAGGACGCTGGGCTGGACAGAGGGGACACACCCACACCACTTCTCTTCCACAGCTGAATGCAGAGAGATACCAGCAGTAACTTGGCATGGGTGTAACAGAGAGCACAGCCCCCCTCCTCCCTGGTCACCCACACTAAGCCCCATTGCCCAGGGCTCATTGGGCTGTTGAACCCAATGAGCTCAGAGCTTCTCTTGCTTCACCACCACTTAAACTCCCCTCCACATTTTAGGGAGCACAAAGTCTGGCCACTGCAAGATGAATCCACATAAGGAACAAGCAGCCTCCAGGGCCTTTACTGCCCTGGCTGAGCAGAGGGAGCACTGGGCCTGCTCTTGCAGGGTTCTTGCAGGCTTCCCACTATGTGACCCAGGCAGAGGCCATCCAACTGCTCTGGACACCCTCATGTGTAGGGCTGCTCTGGCAGGAGCCAGCACCTCCTTGCCAGGAGTTCAAAGCAGATGGATCCCAATGCAAGGGTCAGACTCTGAACCCCCAGCAAACCCCTTCCTCCTGCTGCCTGGAGCAAACCCTCCCCCACAGAAAGAGCTCCAGTAGCCATGGCTATGTGTCCCTGGCACATCTGCAAGCCCAGCCAGGCCACAAGCAGGGCTCCATCACAGGTGGGATCTGTGTCAGTGTGGGAACACACAGCTCCCACACTGCTGACTCCAGCTGAAAATATGTCAGCACAGCCAAACCATTTTTTTTTTTTTCCCCTGGATCTATCCAGTCTAGCAGACTGGTCAAAGAGAGAGAGGAAAACAGTCTCATTCTTGGTTTGGTGTAAAAGCAGCAGTACAGCTCAGACTGGGACTCCTCCAAAAACCAGATAATTAGTGACTGGCCCATGGCTCAGAGCCCACCTGATCCCCAGGGTGATGAGACTGCCAGGCTGAGCACACTGGGTTCAGGCACCCAGCCACACCAGTGTTCCCTCATAAGCCCAGAGCTGGGATTACATGGGTGATCCCAAAGGAATTGTCAAGCTGCAGTGTCCTTACCTGCGTGAGGCCTCGGCTGGAGCTGTAGGAGCTGGCAATGGCATTGCGGAGGGAGCTGGGGATCCCACCAGTGTAGGTGTTGTTGAGGGAGCTCATAGAGGACGTGCGAGACCTCTTGTTGGAGCAGTCATCTGGGCAGTGTGAGATGAGACCCCTCTTCAGACAGCCTGGCCTGGAGGGGGACGAAGTTTTGATGAGCTGCTCACTGATCCTGCCCACCAGTTCTTTCCATGCAGGGCAGATGGAGGAAGGCAATCCGGCTTAGAAACAACCCTCAGCTGCAGCACAGTCCTGTCACAGGGCGACAGACTGAAGGCACAACCACAGCTTCTCTTGTTCTACCCTGAAGCCAAGTTCTGCAAGTAAAACCCAAGTCCCCTTTTCCAGATCCCACAGACATTTGCTCCCTCCCATCCCAGAAGTTACTTCTGGCCCACTGGGTACTTACTTGGGTATGAGAGAAGCAGGGGCACCATTGGCTACCAGCGGCTCAAATGCTGACTGCCCACTTCCACTGCTGTCATGGCGCCTGTGGGAAATGAGTGTGAAAGTCGATGACAGTGTGGCAGCGTCTTTCAGCCTGGGGAAAGGCAGGCTGAGCACCCAGAGATCAAACCTTGCTTTTTTCCTGGTACTCAATACCCAGGACAGAGCTTTCCTCCATCTACACTCTGCTGCAAATTTTCTCTCCCTGTGGGCCTGTCCTCACTGACTCTCATCCCAAACACCAGGAACTCCTCCAGCTGCCTGCTGGGCACAGTAGTATGGTGTAAAAAAACCCAAAACAAAACCCCCCAAAAAACCCCCAAATTTTCCTTAAATCCATTACTCTAAGCCAAAATACTTCCAGAAATGAGCTGCCAAGTCTTTCTGAACAGACCTGAGCTCTGAAACTCCCCCCTCTGACCTCTACCTAACCAATGCCCTGGACAGCTCAAGCCAAATACCCGATTTCCCTTCCCACAGATTTTATGAAGATCTGAAATGTCAAAATCACAGAAGACACCCTGCTGTAAAGTGGAGCTGGAGGTGTAAGACAGTCCTGTCACTTGGCCAAGTGCTCCTCTCAAGCCAACAGCAAGCTGACCCTAAGGCACAGGTGATCCCACACACTCCAGCTGACACAGCTCCTTTCTGTCCACCACGGACACGGAATTTTCCATCTACAAGCATTCCTCGTGTTTGCCAGATATTAATGCCTTCAAAATTGACTTTTGTGACAGAGCTGTGTATTGGTGTATTAAAAAAAAAAACAGTTTAAAGACAAATACCCTAAGCTAATCCTGTCTGTGTACTCATTCTGTCGTCATCCTCAATGGCTCTTATGGGGCTCAGATCCAATGAGCCAAGCATTCAGAGATGGGAATTCAGTGCTGGAGAACAGTGCGCCCTGCTTTACCCTGCTCTGCTCCCTGGGCCACCTCTAGCAGCAGCCCTAGTGCAGGACAATGCCCCAGGCACTGCCCAAGCAGTGTCTCAGCTCCCCATCCCAGCACAGATGGAAGAATCTCCATGGACACAACTAGGAAGGATGAACTGTTGGAGCAAGTCTAGGAAACAGCTACAGATTTGATAAGGGGACTGGAGCACCTTCCCTATGGAAACAGGCTGAGACATCAGGTGCTGCTCAGCCTGAAACAGAGAAGGTTGTGTGGAGATCCCAGCAGCATTTCAGGATCTGAAGGGGTCTGCAAGGAAGCTGGAGAAGGACTGCATCAAGAAGTGCAGTGATAGGACAAGGGGGAAAGGCTTTAAATTGAAACCAGAGTAATTTAAGTTGGATACACAGAATAAATTCTTTCTTCTGAGAGTGGTGAGGCCGTGGCACAGGTTTCCCAGAGAAACTGTGGCTGCCTCATCCCTGGAAGTGTTCAAGGCCAGGTTGGACAAGGCTTGGAGAAACCTGGTCTAGTGGAAGGTGTCCCTACCCATGACAGGAGGCAGCACTGGAAGAGCTTTAAGGTCCCTTCCAACCCAAATCATCCTGTTATTCTAGGAAAAGCAGGAGGGTGGGATAGCAAGGCAAGTGCTGCGGCTGGGTGGCTGGAAAGGCTCTGACAGACCATGGCTCTCAGTATTTACTCCTTGTCCTTCTCAGGACACTGGCAAAAACGTAGCACTAGACAATATCCTGTTTACTCTCTTTTTCCACCCTCCTCTGCTAGATCAGCTCACAAGGGAAGTGCTTGGAGCTTTCCAAGTGCAATGCTTTCACCTGGTAATCTCATCTCTCCTGGGAGCCCGGGACTGACAGAGCCCACAGCAGATACCAACATTTCCTATCATGCTTTCCCCTTCTGCAAACCCTTGTAAGGAGACAAGCCACTTCCTGACCAGGCTTCCCAAAACACATCCCAGTCAGGCAGGGGAACTGGACCCACATCAAAACCACATTCCTTCAACCAAAAAGGAGGACTTTTGACGTAGCACCAAGGGCCAGGTGATGGATGGGGTGGTTCTTCCTCTTTGCAGACTGCTTCTGGCATTACTTTTTCAATCCTGAGTCCAGGTCTCATGGGGTCTGGCATGCTCTGGGACACATCCCATTTCTCACCTCTGGAGCAAGAATCCCATCTGTGACCTTCCCAACACACTAGCTGCAACTTGAACTGGTCTCTTTTTACCTTCTTTTGCTCTCCTGATCATTCCCAAAAGTCTGGGCCTCCTCCTCTTCCTCCACAGCCCTTTTTCTGCTCTCCCTGATGGCATTCAGCACAGTCTCCTTTGCACATGGGTCAGGGCTGCTGGTGGCTGAGAAGGCCAGAGGCGAGACCAGCTGCTCTAGACTGTGGAACAGAGCAAAGTAAGGTGTGAGGCAGGTTGGGATCCCCAGTGTGATCCCCCTACAGAATAGAGACCACAGCTCTCCCACGCAGCCCTTCTGGGAAGTTTGGACAGCACCATCCTCCCAGCCCCATGGCAGCACTCAGGATGGGATGCTGCTCCCGGGTACACCACAGCCAGCTAAGGCTTCCCCCGGTGGGTCCTGGTTCCCACCGTGGCTGATAACCGGGCTCCCCCAGGTGTGCCCCGGTCTCCTCCGTACTCACGCTGGGGAGCGGGCGATGCCGACAGCCGGCGGGGCGATTCTCACGGTGACGGGGCTCCGGAGCGGGCCGGTACGGCGGGCCCAAGGAGCGCTGCGGGGGGAGCCGCCCTCCCAGCGGG